GAGGTCACCGCTGCACTTGTGAATTATAAGCTTCGAAAGAAGGATAAGGAGACTTCAGTTGAGCCGGTAGCGGGAGCATTGGTCGCAAGAACAAAGAGTCCAAACCGTGATAGGAGGTCTCAGTCTAGAGGGGCACATCTTGGAGTTCGTAGGAATCAGTGTGTCTTTTATAAAGAGGATGGACATTAAAAAGCCGAATGCCCAAAGTTGGTTGATAGAGCCAGGAAGAATAAGGGAAAATCTATTCAAGCTTCAGAGGTGAATGTTGTCAATGCTAGTGATAATAATTCAAATTCGGATTCTTCAGACTACTCGTTATCTGCACTACCGCCAGTTTGTGTTACCGACTCTACAGGGTGGATGTTGGATCCGGGTGCTTCTTACCATATTTATCCTAGAAGGGATTGATTCTCCAGCTTTCAGGAGCTGAAAAGAGGAGAGGTCGTGCTCATGGGTAATGATCATGAATGTCCTATTGGTGGTATCGATACCGTTCGGATTAGGATGAGTGACGGAGTGATTCGGGAGTTGGTTGGAGTGAGGTTCGTTCATCGGTTGAAGAAAAATATCATTTTACTTGGAGTTTTGAAGGTAGCAGACTATAGGGTGATCTTGGTCGATTCATGTTTGAAGGTCACATTGGGGTTCATGATTGTGATGAAGGGCATCAGGAGGAATAATTTGTATTATTTGATAAGGAGCATGGTGTTTGATAGAGAGCTGACGACTTCTTTGGATTTGGCTAGACTGTGGCATTTGGTGAGGCTGGGTTATTTGATTGGTTATACCGTGCATGGTTTGTTGAGGAGTGCTTTGACCTACAGATTGAAGTCCTTTGAGCACATTGGTATGAGCAAGAAGACCGAGATGGAGTTTGGCACTTCTATCCATCGATCGAGGGGTCTTTATGTGGTTTTCAGTCAGGTATTTGGGGGCCTTTCAAGGAGGCATCATTGGGAGGTAATCGGTATTTGATTTCCATAGTTGGGGATTGTTCTAGGTATTGGTGGGTTGCAACCAGGTCCCGTTGGTGTGAAGTCCTAGAAGTCAACAACAATTGGAAGAAGTGTATTGGCAAAAAGATAACCCATCGTTCTAGCTTTGGTAGGGGTTCTTTCTTGCATTTGTGCCGAGCTCGTGACAGTTTGAGACACTTCATTGATGTGGAGACATTGGGGCGACGAGATGAGATGACAGTTTTGATGGCTCGTTCCTTACTAGAGGGGGATCGGTGTTGGTTGCCGAGCATTGATTTTGGTTTTAGAGCTTCGACATATTTGGATCATCTTGGTCATAGGTTGCCGACTACTGCGTGTGAAGATTTTGGATCTGGTGGAGCCGATTCAGATTTTGGGTTGCGTCGGATATTTGGTTGCCCAGCATTTGGTCACATCGAGAATGTGAGATTTGATCCGATTGCACGTTTGGGATTCAGAGGTTTGTTTGATTATCAGTTAGGAGCTTCTGATTTTGTTCTGAGCATGTATGTCATATTTGACTCTCGGTAGGTGGAGAGTGTTGATCAGATCATTGGGATATCACAGCGGGTGGAGGGTGATGCTACTTTACATTGGGTGGAGACTACTCCACATACTCCAGATCATACTGCATCGTTTGGTATTCTAGCTGAGGTGACACAGTTTGGAGATCATTTGGATTTGGATGCAGATGATGAGTTGGTTTTGGATTCGAGTGCAGCTGGTAGACATGTTTTGGATACGACCATTGGTTCACCTCAGGTGGAGGTGCTTGATTTGTTTCAGTTTGGGGCCATTAGGAGCGCTATCAGTTACAGATCAGTTGGTGATATTGGTGAAGAGTTACAAACTTTTCTATTTGATTGATGAGCTTTGGAGGCCGTTTGGGTGAACTACGTGAATGTTTGATTCATTGGGCAAGAGGATACGTAGGCAGTCATTTATGATGCAATTGGTTTGGTGAGTTGATACCGACATTTGGAGTTTGTTCGCATTCTCGTTTGGATTCTCGACTTGTTGTGGATTGAGTCCGTTGTCGTGGACTTGTTCCGCTTCGTACTGGACGCAACAAGTGAGACGTTTGGTTGATATTGGTGTCGGCTCGGTTTTGGGAAAACTTCGCCGAGGTGGAGAATTGTTGTATAGCAGGCTCCTAATATGTTTCCTAATTTATTTTGGTAACAGGTTATTGGGATTCCTAATCTGTTTTGGTAATATGATTCCAAATCTGTTTTGGTAACAGTTATTGGGATTCCTAATCTGTTTTGGTAATATGATTCCAAATCTGTTTTGGTAACAGGTTATTAGGATTTCTAATCTGTTTTGTTTTTTGTTTTAGAATAACAGGTTATTAGGATTTCTAATCTGTTTTGTTTTTTGTTTTAGAATTCCTAGTATGTTTATGATTTTAGAATTTCTATATATATGGAACAATTAGAAGAGAGAATGGAGAAGAAAATTGGGGATATTTGGAGCACAGAAAAGATGTATTTTCTGAGCTATTGGTTAGGGTATTGTTTGGAGAGAATTAGAGATTTGTTGGTGAGATTAATTGGTGAGTTTGAGTGATTTGTAATCTTAGTTTGTACTCTTCTTTTCTATTAGTGAAAAACTCTATCCCTTTCTTGCCCCGTGGACGTAGGCAACTTGCCGAACCACGTTAAAATTGGTTGTTTGTGTTTGTGGCATTGATTTGGTTAGTTTGGTCTTCTTTCGGTGTTTGTTTGATTTGGTCTCTCGAAGCACATCGGTTTGGTTTTGACTTCCACCGCGCTCAACAAGTTATAGATGAACAGGCTTGCGGTAACA